AAATACTACTAGGCCTATGACCCAAAATAGCCACATACAACAACAAGTCATACCCCTATTTTTGCAACTGTAAAAATACTACTAGGCCTATGACCCAAAATAGCCACATACAACAACAAGTCATACCCCTATTTTTGCAACTGTAAAGACTTTTTTGTGTGGTTATWAGCTAGCTGAGGAAACCAGTGTATGGCATTGTAATAGAGGTCCTATTCAGTAGCCTTCAAGGCGCATTCTCAGCCGCTGAATATACATAGTAGTAGAAGAAAATGTCACAATGCAACCTGGTCATTAGGGTATTTGGTGCATGTGTTAGCATGGAGTCGAAGTCATGCAAACTAATAATTTTTTATCACTAGTATTCCTTCTTGTCTTATCACAAATATGGAGGATGCTTACTGATACAAAGGATACTGATATGGAGGATGCTGATACAGAGGATGTTGTTATGGAGGATGCTGATACAGAGGCTCGCTGATACGGAGGAGGATGGTGCTGATACAGAGACTCACTGATACAGAGGAGCCACTGATACACCGGAAGAGTAGCTTTGTGGTGCTAATTACTTGACCCCTCTAAGAGCTTAGTAGTATAATGTAATAGATAATATGTTTCTGTTATTGTCAAGAAGAATTACCACCTTCATCACATGCCTGTTTACTATGGAAATTGCCTCATGCAACAAGTAATTCTGCTCAACCAACTTAGCATATTTTTTGCTCTAGTACTGGCATGGTAGATGACAGTAGGAATCAACACCTGTTGCAAAATAAGTTACATTTGGTCATCATAGTACCCCCACAGTAGTAGGGGGAAATCTATATGAGTATTGGTGGTGCAAAATAAGATGTGACAGCTTTTTAACAGTAAAAATCTATATAGTTCTATGCGTGGAATGAATTTCTTAATTTATACAGGTAGTAGCTGTCATCTTACAGAAAAAGAAACTATTTCATATTGATTTCAAAGAGTTGCTGGGTGATATGGAGGACATGGAGGATGATACAGAGGACGCTCCCTGATATAGAGGAGGCTTGCTGATACGATACAAACCACTACTAGATTGATCAATCCAAGACTTCCTGATCCTTGAGCCCTTAACATAAGAAAAAGAACATTTGTCTTGTGAGTGCAATTGATTGGATATTGATGAGCAAGAACTAAAGAGGTGACAGCTTCTTGCTATCATGTTGGGGTTGATTCTTAGTTAGTAAAGAATGAGAGTTTTTTCTCATTTCAGTGATGAGAGAAATCAAGAAGCCGGAAAAGGTTCTCTCGCAAAAAAACCTGCAATATACATGTAAAGTAAGAAGAATGAAAACCCCTTCTGACTAACAGATTCTCTAGTTCTGATTGGTGCTATGGTAGCAGTAACAAGCAAGCAAAGCTTGCTGCTGATTACTAAATTACTAAAAACGCCTCGGAAAATTATGACTCATAACTTGTTCGAATTTGATGGTTTTCTTTCGCACTCATACTCATTCCCGTACCCCTAAATGATACTACCTCCGTCCCACAATAATAGGACACTTTGCACCTCTTCAGCTGAAATAAGCTCAATATTTGGGCGATTGGATTGCTTATTTTTGCACTAAACAGATCTATTACAGTGTTATACAGTCATGTAGATTGAATATAGTCAGTGTGTCTGACGTACTTGCAATAGCTACTTAAAGAGGGCTCTTTTTGGCATATAAATGTGATTTTACCGGTTCAAAGGGTTCTACTGGTCTTTCCTAGACGGGACCGGTTTATTTGAAAAGCCCAGACTAAGAGTTTTATCATGGTATACTTATCATACTCATTGAGAATGTTCCTGTGCAGTCATTGTTGGTCAAAAGAGAACCCAAATATTGCTCGGGCGCATGCAGTTTTCATGTGGTTTTTTTGAATTTTGCGCTGGAGAGAGGAATCGAAGAGAAAAAAAAATGCTATGCGCATGGTCCAAAAATGCTCCCCGTGTTATTTTCACGTGATAATTTTCACTCTTGATTCACTCACACCTCCCAATTTCCTCTTTTCGACTCCTTTCTGTCACTTCGCTCTTTCCATTCAACTGACTAAGACCCTTCTTCCTTCTTTGCACCTCATGTGACTCATCGACGTTGAGCCTCCACTACGCGCCTCCACTACGCGCCTCCACTACGCACCTCCACTGAGGGGGGGAAGACCGCGTCTCGTCCGACGATCCTTCCACTAAGAGGCGGGGGGGGGGGGGGGAAAGTGCGTCTCCGTTGAGCCAACGCGTCTCCGTTGCTTCCACTAAGAGGGGGGAAGCGACTCGCCTTGCAGCTTCTTCGGTGAGTGCAGCAACGCGGAGGGGGAACAAGCGCCAACAAGAATGACTCGCATCTCCATTGCTTCCACTAATAGGGGATCCATCGACTCGCCGGCGCTTCTCCCGCCTCCGTTGCTTCCACTGAGAGGGAATCGCGTCTCCGTTGCTTCCAAATGGATCGCGTCCCGCGTCTCCATTGAGCACCTCCACTGAGCGCCTCCACGAAGAGGGGAGAAGACCGACTCGCGTCTCCGTTGCTCATCGACGTTGAGCCACTGAGAGGGAATCGCGTCTCGGCTCGCGTCTCCGTTGATTCCACTAAGAGGGAATCACGTCTCCGTTGCTTCCACTAAGAGGGGGGAAACGACAACAACGACAATCAACCTGCGAGTCTCTTTCTTGTTGCCTGTTTTGCTGCTTTTTTCCCATACTTTCATCCACTCACTTAATTGAATCCTGCTCTTTTCTAAAGCAAACACACTCCCAAGATGRCCACAGGAATAAACGCAATTGATCTCGTAGTAGACCTCCTTGAACCAAGTGAGCTGCTGCCTCCTCCTGTGACTGTTACTCCTCCTCCAACGCGACGGCGCAATATAAACTTGACCAACAATCAAAGACAAGCTGTTTTGCATCAACTGCTTCCGCATCACAAGGGGAATGGCAAACTTGCAAAGGGTGCATTCAAGGCGGCAGCGGAGACCTTTAAAGTTTCCCCTCGAACTTGTGCAAAAATCTGGAAGCGCTATTTGGAAACTAAGGATGATGAAACATGCCCTGCAGGTGATGTGTCAAACAACAGGTCCAAGTGTGGTAGGAAGGCTAGGCCTACCTCTGATCTTGAGGGAATGAGGGACATACCATACAAACAAAGAGGAGATCTCAGGACCCTATCAGCAGCAATGAACATCCCCCGTTCTTCCTTGCACCGTCTTGTTAAACGTGGAGCAATCAAGAGATACAGCTGCACTTTGAAGCCTTTCCTAAAAGAAGCAAACAAAATGGCACGGATTAGATTTGCTCTGTCACATATTGATAACGATGGTGTGTTTGAGTCTATGTTTGACAAGGTCCATGTTGATGAGAAATGGTTCTTCATGAAGGAAGTTACAAGCAACACCTATCTACTTGATGAAGAGCTTGAACCAGTTGGCAAGACACCKTCAAAGCAGCATATCAAGAAGGTGATGTTTCTATGTGCAACGGCAAGGCCCAGATTTGATACCAATAGGGGTGCATGGTTTGATGGTAAGCTTGGTATTTGGCCTATTGTGGAGTACAGACCAGCACAGAGATCTTCTGTGAATCGACCCCGAGGTACGATTGAACCCCACCCTATTAACGTCAATGAAGAAGTGTACAGGAACCTCATGATCGAAAAAGTTCTACCGGCCATTTACGAGAAGTTCCCCAGGGGCAACGGAGATCGTCTTCCAAGTTGTATTATTCAGGAAGACAATGCTAAGCCTCATACACTGAACACCAGAGCGGCTGTGACAGCTGCTGCTCGTGAGAGGAACTGGAATATTGTTGTGAAGCCTCAACCACCTAACAGTCCTGACTTTAATGTTCTTGATTTGGG